CGGGCCTTGGCGTGCATCTTTTATTAAAGATGTGACTTTGCCTATATTACTAGTATATGAATATTAAACTAACCTTACAAATTTCACACAATTTGTCACGAAATTTAGAATTTTTGTTTTCCTTATATTTTTATTAAAATATAATAGTTAAAGTTAAACCTAAATTTTTTATGATATCGCGAATGAATATTACCTCGAAGTAATACAATTTGGCAAGATTAACATATTTATATTTATCAGTTTTTATACAAATAAAGACCACTGAATATTCGGACCTAAAAACAATTTTTTTAAAATGGCCTAGCTCCAAATATTTTTTTTGAATATTCGAACTAGACCTTAAAAAAATATTGTAAAAATTTTTAAATAAAATAAAATGTTTTCTAATTCAAAACATCCTTCCAGATATATTTTCTAAGCCGATATATTTTACCTATTTTTAATTAAGATTTTGAGATATAACTCTTATGTGTTAGACAAATAATAAACAAAGGGTGATTTTTATACAGCCTTGTATTTATTCCAGAAAAAAATAAAAAAAATACCTCGTTTAACATCATTGACTTTGTATTGAAGCGGGAGAGATTAATATAAAAACACAATAAATTTTGTCCCGCTTCTAAAGATAATATAACTAAAGTTTACTCAGGAATTGAGAAAAAGCAATAAATTTCTCAATTGACTCTTGTGATAAAATGGGTATATAATCGATTACTACATATCTAACAAAGAATTCGTTGGATCTGAACTAATTATGGCATTTTTAAACTTAAATAATCGCATCAAGCCAGATAATAATTTCTAGTTTAAGTGGTAATCAATTTCATTACCAGTTTAAATATTCTCTTTGGTATACTCTTAAAATTATTATAAAATATTATTCCATTTTAATTTTGTTTACAAATTTGTATATAAGATATGGTAGCTCAAAATGGACAATTAAATTTGTAGTAGTTATTATTTAATATGCTTAAGAGTGTTCCTTTTTCTAAAATTACCCCCCCCCCCTTCTTCCATATCCTTGAAATTTATAAGCACTAAAAAAAATTCTCTTATATATATTTTAATATCATTATTATTGCAATTAAATCTATACAGAATGAATTGAAGTCTTTTATATTCAAAAAAATCCAAACATACAATTAAATAACTAGGCAGAATATAACATAGTTTACTCTGCCCATATATTTTCTTTTCATGTGCCTAGTTTTAATTTTAAGTCTAATTAAACATATTTTCGCTTTTAAAGAATATTTTTTTGAAGCAATTAGATTATGGATCCTTTAATTATTTTCGAAAATGAAATGTCTGAAGTTATTAATATCTATGACCAATTATTCGAGCAAAGAAAACAACTAGTCCATCGTATTATAAATTAACTTGTCATATCGGGAAGGAATTGGAATTTAAGGAAATATTATTATGCATCTATCTTCATCCATTTTTTTTTGCAGTCTAATTTTTTCTCATGATTTAGGATTCAGTGTAAATACAAAACTTCATATTATTTCCTAATCAAATGTTAAGGATGTTACCGGATGAGAGAATTTGATGAAATGGAAGCGAAATTGTTAATTTCAATGAAAGAGAAATGAAATGAGCTATTTAATGGTAAATAAATTAAAATTTTTTAGTTCTTATTTACAAGATATACAACATTTTTACAATCAAGAAGACTTATCCCTCAATTGCAACTCAAGACCATACTTAAGTATACGTATTCAAAGGATATATAGTAAACATAGATTTCTAAATTATGGAATTTATTATACGACCTTACTAGATTATATTAACTTAACGTTTTTATATCTCAATATTAATTCTTGTGCTTGGCAAGCAATTTTCATCCCAAAAAAATAATTTCGCATAAATGTGCCTTTTGCGAAATTGTTATTATTTTATTTTTCGCAATGATTTACACAATTTTATTGCTTGTGAAGTTATTTGCAGGTGGGAGAATAGATTATAATCGCCATGCATAAATCTTTGCCTATATTTTTTCCCTGAGCAAAAACCTTTGTATACTCTGTATAGTTCATACCGCATTAATTTGTTAATCTAAACTTGTTAACGGGGACCCTTTCATCCCCCGAGTATGCTACTCCACTTTTACTTATAGCATTTGGGTTTGTTATAATCTTTATTGCCTTTTTCAAACGATTAATTTATCTTTTTTGTTAACCCTATTTACCGCCAATGGCATTCGTTATTACTTACTATTAAAATTCTTGTTATATGACACTATATTTATTAGATATCTTCTTGTCTAAGTCTCTCTGATGCAAAACGAAGTCTAAAATAAAATGGAAAGACATGCCGTTCGTCTTCCTACTAAGGCCTTTTTGATATTACGATCGCAGATCCAGTGCAAGGGCAAATAATTCCATTCCCGCCATTTGGATATGAAGTTCACCTACATCCTAATTTTACATTGATTGCACGCTTACCTTCTATTCACATTGCACCATTGAAATGGCTTCGGTGGTTGATTGTTGACATACTATCATTATCCTACCTATCTCCCGAATTAAAATCAATAATAAAAGCATATTTTTGTGAGAATACATATGAATATTCCATGAGGTTACATACAACATTTATATACTGATAAAACTTGAGAATATACGCCAATTACCAATAAATCAGCTCCTTCTATATACTGATTAAAGTAATTGCATAATTCAATAACTAAAATTTGTCACAACAGTATCAAAAATATTAACATATCCTTCGTAGTAATGATAAATAAAAAATCTATTTTCTCCAGAAAAATCTTATACCGCTATACTGTTTTAATTTCTCTTTTTTGATAGTCAGATAAATATTATATTAAAGCAGGCCCGACTCTAGCTTAATCCATTTTCGGAGGAGACGAAGAGGGGGGGGAATTCTTTGGGGAGGAGGGCAATTAAATAAAAAATTTCAACACCATAGAATGAATATTTAAGTTATTTGAATACAAAATTGTAATATTTTATTTGAAAAATACCATATATAAAAATATGCAATGATCAAATAGGTTTATAAAATTAGATGGAAGATAAGAATTGATTTATAGCTGGAAAAAAATAAGTTGATTTAATGACTTTACAAATAATATATAGATATAGTTTAATTATGCTTGTATAATACTTGTTAGGGATTCAATTATAAAAAATATGTAATTTAGAAAATATTAATAACTATACTATAATTATAATTAGTATTGTGTCAATGATTGAGCAGTGTAAAACCAACAAAAATAAAGTATTAACAATATAATTTTAATCTAAATGTATTCTTAGATACCTTCTAAACATTTCCAAAATTAATAGTTTCGGTTAGGTTTTTCCCATATCCTAATAAAACCAAGCTACCCTTTCTTATACCACTACTCGAACGTTTATCTAATTTAATAATTGTCTTTAAAGGTTGGATGATCTAAACTGATACAGAATAAAACATTTGGAAATGCATTGTTGTATGGGTATAAAAATTTGAGAAAATTTGATGTAACACAATCTTTATAATTTTCTAACAATCTTAATTTCAATTACTACTCCCTCTTCAGTAGTATTGGTTGCCAATAAAGGTTTTAATTTTTTAATGTATAGAAAATTAAAACGGCTATCTTGATTTAGATTTTATTTAAATTTGCTAATTTAAATAAAATCTAAAAAATCTTTTAGTCACATGATCCTCTTCTTTTGTGTTTTCTGCAAAATGTTTCTCAAGGCCCTTGAATACAGGAACTTTTCAATTGGTAAAACCCGTTTTTGTAAAAATTTATACAGATTATTTAAGTTATAGATCTTAGGCAAAACACTGTTTCAGCTTCACTTAATTATTCAGCCTATAAGTATTTATAGAACTTTAAAGAAAATCTTCTTCCATTATTAGTAAGAGTCTTTTTTAGTGAGTTTGGTAATTTTGTTAAAAAGCCAGATTTGGATCGATTTTAAAAACACGATTAAGATTTTAGCCAAAATACAATTATGTAAGCCTCGTCATTTGGCAAATAGATGTCCAAACCTATCTACCATCTATGAGAAAAATCTCCACTTACATAATATTATTTTGGTTATAATTTTGATAAAGTCGTTTTTTAAAATCGACCCGAATAAGGCTTTTTAACCCACTATATGTTGGCCGATTTGGTGATACCTGATTCAAATCATTTAAAATAAGAATAACTTAAAAATCTAACCTATCCATTTTGTTTTTGCAAGCTCTCATTTTATTTATTCTGAATCTTGGCATCTTGATAATTTTTATTCTACCATCAAATTAACTACATTTACATTTTCTCCTTCTTCATTACAATATGGGGTGCGTTGGCGCCATTAGGTATTTCAGCAGATGTGAATAAATAGTTTTTTTTAAAACCGATAGTGGTTGGAACAGTTATTTCTATCCCATTCATTCTTATTTTTTAAAAATTAAAATATAAAAAATATTCAGGAACCAAAAACAATTTTAAATTTTATTGGGAGGGGGGGGGGCAGTTTAAATTTGGGAATTGGGTGGGGGCAAATAGGCCTAGAATAGGGCTTGAATTAAAGACTAAATAAAAATAATTAGAAGCCAAATTAAATTCTTTATATTTTGACCTTAAAAAATAAATCGTTTCTCTTTTATAGTACCAGTCAAAAAAAATTTCCAAGCCAAAATGTAAACAAATACAACAGCTAATGCCATTTAATAACTAAATTCCCTGCTATAAAGTTATAATAGTTCGCATATTATACCATATTATCTATAATTATTTACCCAGAAATTTAGCTAATCTAGTGCGCATTCTATTCCTTGATGTATACAATCCTCTCATTTTATCATACTTCATATTAAACTTCAATATAATACCAAAGTGTCCTTAATTAAATTCCTCCATTTTAAATATTTAATATAATAATACTAGTAATATTATTATACTTTATTAAAATATTTTCCAACTAAATAGAAATTTAGAAATAATATATATAAAAAAATAAGTTGATAAAAGGGAATGTTGACATTATTAAATTTACATTAATTATACTAAAAAAACATCTGAGAGGGAAAAAGAAAAAAAGAGATTATATTACAAGATATAAATCAACTTGGTCAACCATTCATGTTATTCCGAATATTTATAAAAATATATGAAAATAAGATAATATTTACCACTTTTATAAGATTCGAATATGAACACACTATTTAAATATATGATATAATTTTATTCATTAAATATTTTAAAAAGCTTTTAATAAATATTTTTAAAAAAAGTATAAACAAGTTTTATGGATCGGATAAATTGGTAACTGAGCAAATTTGCTTATCAATTGCACTTGTAACTATAGCATCACCGTAACTTTGATATTTATCGCTCGACCACTTCTTCTTCCGTCTAGATTTAAGACACATCCGATAATGCTTAAGCGAATACCTTCCAAAGGGAAAAAGGGTATCAGTTAACTCTTGATATTTGTTAAAGAAGCGCTCTTTGCTTTTGTGAAGTCTTTGGTAATAATCGTTGGTGGTGGACCTCTTGGACTTATTCCGTTTATACCAAGATGGTAAATTGAGATCAGAGTGCCATAATTTTTGATATTCTTCAAGTTCGTGGTATTTAGTACCGTTGCGTCCACGGTGATTTATATTAGATATGCCATTGTATATACAATTGGTCATATGAAAAGAACTACCTTTTCTATCCACGCTCTGACCGTTTTTATTGTCTGAAGGGCTAGAATTATCTTTATCAAAATTTTTACAACTACGAAAGGATATGATTCTTTTGAAGGAAGATCTAATTGAGGAAGTCGGCGAAAGTTTGGTGATCCCTTTTCCACCGTTTAATTCGGATGAGGGTTTTCTGTTTTCTTTAACCTGATAATATATAGGAGCATTCGTAGCATTCTCCTCTTCGTTCATTAAGTGCATTGTTACATTTGGATAGCCTGTTTCATGCATTTAATTATTTTTTGAAATTTTATCTTTCTTAAACATTTAAATAAAATTTTATAAAAAAATGTGATTATACCTAATAATATCATTACTATAAGTTCTTTTAAACATTCTTCACCGTTAATCATAAAATGAAGATTATGGGGAGGCAATTAATTTTTCTTCAAGATTAGTAAATTTGGGTTATATTTGTTTAGATGTGCCTTCATATTGGATTTTAAATCGCGATTCATAGGAAGCAAAATATTTTAAAATTTATTTTAAAATAGCGATTTAAATTGGCGTAGCCTTATAAACTCTTAAGAACAAGATTACACTAATGTAAGGGTATAAATAAATAAGCTATAGTTAATATTTAGACAAATATATTATTGTTGATTACTATTAATTATGTAGAATATTCGTTTATTTTTTATAAATTATAAACAATTATCGAAAATTCGACGAGGAAGGTAGAAATTTATTTGGATTGGCTAGACCATCCAAGTTTCACAGCATATTTATGGTATTGTTTACATGATTAATTTATAATAATAATTGAAGGATGTGTCCTAATTCGTCTTGTTTTCTTTTTAAATAATCTATCTGAATAAAATGTTATTTTAGTATTATCACCTTATACCAAACTCTATATATAGTTTATAAAAAGAAACAAAAAAGGTGTCCTAGCTGCTTTTCTAAATAAAATATTATATTAAAAATTAAGAGGGCAGATAAGGATAAGATGAGCCCTTAGATGTTTGTATATTATTTATGATCAAAAAGTATACCTTCTGAAATGGTATCATCGTTAAAATTGGTTTCACCAATCAGGTCTAAATTTTCTAAAGATGTCGAATGAGGTGTAAAGCCCTACGTTTTATAACATATTAAATAAACATCTTTAAAATTATTTTATAAATTTTACGAGGGGTGAGATTATATCACGTGATTCCAAATTTTTTTCTTCTTTTTCAATTTGTTTTTGTAGTTCATCATCGATATCATCTTCATAACGAACTTGCTGTATATTATTTTCAGAATAATTCAAAAAAAAATCGCAAGACATAAGATATTCAAAGTTTTTATCTTAAGTTTTTTTTGAGAGTTATTAGTGTTTTGAAATATTGTGGTATTACTATATAAATGGCATACCTTATTGCTCTCTTCCAAATGTTTCATTAATACGGCTACCACGACATTGACTAATACGAATTGGGCCATTAACACAAAAATTACAAAAAAGATAGGAGACAGAATTTGACTCGCACAACAATTCTTCAAGCAATCACTGGAGGAATCGCAATCTTCCCTCAAAGTATCCTTTATAAAGATTTTAAAGAGTGAATTTTTAAAAATTCTAGATTTTTTTTTGAATAACTTTCATAATTCCATTCCAATTATCACCAGTGGCTATTCGAAAAAGAGTTAAAAATGCCATACCAAAGTCTTTAAAGTGAGCATGTTCACTGAGACCGTCACAAGGGTGTTCAATAGAACATTCTGCAAAAAAATGAATGAAAATTTTTAAGTTGAGTTTGAAAAATATTTTTTTCTTTTCCATAACTAAGGGCGACGATAGCGGGATACCGCTCTTAAAATATGTGTTATATTATATCCAAAATCAAACAAAATATAACAATTAATTTGCTTGATTTTGGTATCTAACATATGTTTTGAGACCGATATTATGGCTACATTTCACTTACTAATAAATTCCGTTTAACTCATACATCACTGATTGTATTAAAAAAATAAATAGTTTGAGAGATATGTTTTTTTTGTTCAAACCTAGTTTTCCAAATAGCTCCACTCCCAAAGCGGCGAATATAAAAAATAACAAGAAAAATAATAAGCCTAAATTTCCGACTTGAGGTAAAGCTTGAACAACGGTGTCCAAAAGTGCTCTTATGCCTTTCGCCATTTTTAAAAGTTTCAGAACTAAAATATTAAAATTAATAGGCGTTATAATAGTTTTTGAACCTCTGGCTATTCGTAAAACTCTCATGACTCTTATAATAGTTGGATTGATAGGAAATATGTTTGATTTCATTTCTTCTAAAATAATACCGAATATCGATAAAATCACGATAATAATATCCAATTGATTCCATCTAGTTTTATTTATTTTTTTTGCGAATTATTTGAAAATTTTTATATACATAGAAAACATTTTGATTGATTATGAATATGTATATATATAAACCTATCTGACATGTAGGACTTTACACCTAAAGCTATCAATTTCATGGTCGATTCGATGATGAAAACGGCCGTAAAAAAATAATTGAATATCTTGAGAGCATAAATCAATTCCTATAAGAAAATAAATGAAAAAATAGGGCAATTATTAAAGAAGATATAGATAAAACGTAAACAACTAATTTTACAGTTGTTTATATCAATTATTTTTTTTTACCAAAGGCATATTGTAAAATTCCAAAGCCATCGATACAACGTTGAGTCCTATTACGGCGGCAATTGCCAAATCAAAATATTTACTAGTTACTATATTATGTAGGAATCGTCTTGTCTTCGAATACTCAAAGTGTACAGGAACTTGTCGAATACCTTTAATTATCCGATAAATATAAGATAATTTATTTTATAGGTTGTGAAAAATATTCAAAAAAAACGTCGAATAAAATAGTAAATCTAGCATAGCAGTGGCGTATCTAATGGGGGGATTAAACGGGTCCCAAAGTAAAAAAATGCCGAATAAATTTGCGATTTTCAACTTTAATGATTAACTCTTCATCCTTAAACTTTTTTCTTCCATCAACTAGTAAAAAAAACATTGGTATACAGTAGTGTATATAAATAAAGTAAGTTCTCATTATATTTTCATATTAACCCACTCATTCTTTTAAACAGAAGAGACCGAAGTTGGTTGAACTTTTTATTCCTGAATGACCATAAACCAATCTGAAATAAAATATATTCTGAATCCTTAAGGTATATAGGCTATTTAAAATATTTAATATATATCTTTTTTTAAACATTTACATTTTTAAAAATTAATTTGAATTTTTTGGACCAACATACCCCAGTAATATGGTAAGTTGGCCTAACACATGTTATTGGTTAGTTCTTTAAAATAATGAGGACCTAAATACAAAATGAATTTTTTTTTGATATAGTTATAAGACTATAAAGTATATTAATTTATTATAATATATTAAATAAGCAATAATTTAAATAATTAATTTAAGAATTTTGAAAAATTTTATGAATTTTCGTAAAAATATTAAAAAATTATTTAATAAATATATATAAAATTTAATATTTTTGATAAATGTTAAATTCATGGGCGCATGTTTATCCAGGATTTTGATAAGGGGGAGGGAGGAAAGTTCTGATAGATAATTTTTTCTCCATAAATTTTATTGGAGTTTTTTAGGTCCGTTTATTGTAGACCTTTGGCTATATTAGATTTTTATAAAAAATAATTTTGGGTTTTAACTTTTTTAAAATTTAAATCTTTTTTTTTTTAGAAAATTTTGATTTATTTAAAAAAGTTAAGGACATTACTTCAAATTCTTCCTTATAATGATATATTGTATATATATTTTGGGAAGAGGTGGGTGTATGAGGAAAATTTTTATTAGCTTAAAATGATATATACGAGAACAGAGAAATTTGTGATTGGGGGGGGGATTTCCTTTGACTACGCTCCTAGTTTAAACCATATGAAATAGGTCTATCGAACATTATTCGATTATAATAAATTTAAATTATTATCACGAGTTAGTAAATTTTAATATTTATTCGGATTATTTAGTTAATTTTCATTGATTTTTACATATTTCATTAAAATACCTTAAAATTAAATAAAACGAATATTTATTTATGATAAGATTATGCAATCGCAGAAGGAGTGAAAATAACAGGGCTCTTCTACATCTTGCGAAGGTCTATTTTATAGACATAAATATGAATAACAAAATAGCATGTCTCTAAAATAAGAAGTAACAATTAGGAAAACGTGATATCTGAAAGTGCTTGTTTTTATAAATTTATTTTATAAATACTTATTTTTATTAATTATGCAATAAAATGTTAGCATTTTTATTCTTATTTTTATGGTGTATTAAATAAAATATCCGGAAAAAAAATTCGTTTTTTAGATTTGTATAAATATAAATTATAAAATTTTCCGATTTCACAAATTGAATATTGAATTGTTCGATTCGGAATTTAAGAATTGACTACAGATATTCTAATATTGAAATCGATATTTTGGAGATTTTTAGAAATATCATTCCTTGAACCAACCATCAACACGCCCTCTAATTTTATAGATGCCATTTAAAAATCATATTAATTCATGTTTTATTATCTAAAAAAATTATCAGATTAAAAAATGGGGTTGAAAATTTTCGAAAATTTATTTATTGGGATTTAAATGCTTTATTATTAATTTTGTTATTCCAAAACACATTTACCTTTATAAAAATTAAATTAATAAATATTTATGAAATCTAAAAGACAATTATGTATGGTACAATTAGCTATATTAATATCAGGTTTAAATTCTACTCTTATGTGATGAAAGTGTAGAAATAAATTGAAGTGAATTCCTCGTCTCCCATACGTTTAGGATCTTATAATATAAAATTTTTAACGAACGGTGAAATAGTATATAAAAAGAGTTTGGTTGATTTGATCTTAATCAATAAGTGGGATTAAGTTAAGGTTACCTAAGCCCAAGTGTAAGTAATATTGAATTTATTTAGCAATCAAAATTTTATTTAAGTGTCTGAATTTGATGTAGGGCGCAAAGGAAAACGCGATATAGATCCCCATAACAACTATTTATAGCCAAACGTGTGCCTACTACTTAGAAGGGTGGTCTGGGGTCAAAGCACCCCAAACCATTTTAGAAAGGTTTCGAAATAAAATTTGAGTACACCCCCTGTAATAGATATTGTTCATTTGACTAAAATATATTGAAAATTAAAATTAATAATACCAAGAGTTGTCATTAGAGTTTCACTCTTTCTTCTAGCTTCTAGTTTTTTCATGCGTTTGACTAATCTAGTCGCTTGTTCTTCTCTATCTAGATCTTCCCTGCATTTGTGAAAATTTTCCACCACTACTCCTACAAACATATTCAGCACGAAAAATCCAACCAGAAGCAAAAAAGATATAAAATATAGCAGTCTCCATTCGCTGAAGTTGACTATGGGCTTTTAGGCATACATTCAAAAATAGAAAATTATTTTTAAAAATATTTATTTGCGAGATCAAAGGAAATTATTATTATATAAGTTAAAAATTGAATTTATTTTTCATATTATACCTGTTGATCAAGTCCTACAGCATCTAAACCATTGTACATTATATTTACCCAGCCGTCTTTTGACGACAATACAAACAATGACATAAGCGCCTAGATTTCACATATACAAATTTAATGGTGAGTTGAATTTAGTAACTTGTCCAAGATTGTCGAAGTTATATTTAGCATTTTTCCATTTATTTTTGGAATCTCTCAAGCAGTCCGATTTATTTTTCACCGAGTCTGTATCATCTCCTTCACAATGATAAAATGTTCCTTTGAATAACTAAAAAACGTTAGAATAGAATGTATATAACATTAATTAAATATAATAATAAAATAACATTTTAATTAAATAATATGTTTTATTTTATATAAATGCAAGTATAGTTTTCAAAAATGGATGATTCTCTATACACAAGAATCATATACATATTATATTATAGTAAATGGAATGATCACTACGCTAAAAAAAGGAGATTAATTGGAAGTCATAATAGCCTATTTAGGCATAGTATAAGAATGACGAGTGATATATATATATATTGTTGCAGATTGTTGATATAATTTCATATTATTTTAACATGTCAATCAAAAACATTTAAAAAAATATAGAATGTAAATAGAAATTATAATCATCCTTTTTCCCCATTGATTCGGTTTTATTTTAAAGAAGACTTAAAATTATTGAATTACCTAAATATCTTGATTCGATTCTTATTTAAAGAAGACTAATAAAACAAATATATTTTTAGTATATTATAAGCATATACTTATACAGTGGCCCCTACAACGGGAGGGGGGTTCGAAGTAACTGCTGCAGTAAATTTGAGTGGGGGGGGGGGTACTTTTTTTAAAAAAATTATTATTTTCATATTTAAAAATTTTTTTAAATTGTTATGCTACATCCATCCATAACCAATTGATTTCCCCCCCCCCCTTATTTATTAATTTAATATGTATTGATGGATATTTTAGATCGATGTTTAGTAAATTAGGTTGTTATCCGAGATTTCTTGTCATAAATTATTTTTCCAATTTCAAAATATGCCTAAAAATATTAACCAAAAATAATAAAATGTGTTAAAAGAAAATATAATATCTGACTCTTTTAATGATCATGAAATTTAATAGTAATATTATTGTGCATGAATCTTCACAGGCACATATGATGGCCGATTATGGAAAGCTTTCACACAACAAAAATTCCATATTGCAATTTATAATACCCAAGAAAGAATGTGTGGATAATAACCGTTCTATCATAAGAATATTAATAAGATGTCTAGGTTATTTAATATCTGAAAAACAATAAGGGATTAAAAACGAAATCATATGAAAATCTATTAACATATAATAACATAAATATTCTTATTTAAAGCATGAAAAATATGGTTATAAAAAAATTCAAAATGAGATTGAATTTAACAGGTGCTTTTTAATCATAGTTGATGGCACATATGATGTTTCGAAATCAGAAGCAATAGCTTTGACAGTAAGATATGTTGAAAATAGTGAGACGCCGAAGCCTGTTGAAAGACTGATTGACATATATTGTACGGGAAATACCACAGGTCTCGATATTAAGCATAATATAATATCCAAACTTGGCTCGATGAATTTACCCCTTGAATTCCTAGTTGGGCAAAGTTAAGATGGCGCCTCATGATTGGAAGAATCAATGGTGTACAGTCTAGGAATACTAGATGAGATTTAGATCTATTTTAATGGTGTAAAAAGATATGAGGTACTCAAAAAATGTCAGTGTAATGATCTGAAAAAATCGCAACGATTTCTACGCATCAAAAATACCACTCGGTACGGTAATAGTACCTTATTTGTTTATATTTAAAATGTTTTTTTATTTAGAAGCTGGCTATCGTCATATAAAGCTATTGCTAATTTTTTTCTACTTTATGATGCCTTGAGGGCAGCTTTAACAAATTTAAAGGATTCTGAAGATCCTGCCACTTCCACTATGGCTAGTGCTATAGTCTTTAGAATAGAAAAATTTGATTTTATCTTATCACTTAGTGTTTTGGATAAAATATTGTTGATAACATGTTTGACTTGTACAAAATTGCAAACCATTTCGAAGGATATAGGGTTTGCAATAAATCAAATTCAATTGGCAAATGATTACTTGATTAATTTGAGAAGTATAATATAAATTATTGTCTTAATTATTTTTTAATCTAATAGATAATAACACTGAATTTTTGGATGTTTTTTCAAAGGCACAAGATTTTATGAAGGAGAGAAATCTACCTTTTGATTTTGAAAGTTCTAGACTTCAAACATTACAATCCAAAAGGGAGAGGTATATATATACTTTCATCATTAAATATAGAAATTTTTTTAGCTTTAAAATAAGTGTGTTTTATGCTACACTCGATTTAATTATTATGCAGTTTAACGAAAGATTTAATGATGATTCGATGAAATTTTTACATCAAGCATCATTTTTTACGCCAAAGGGAATAGCAGAAAAATCAATTATTAAAGAAGATATCGAGGATATCTGTGAATTTTACAATTTAAATTCAAGTCAAATTTTCAAAGAAATGTTGAAGTTTAGAAATATTTATAAGATGGCCAAAATGGGGAATGTAATTATTACTCATGACCTAGAGGTTCAAGAATCTAAAGATTTGTCAGATTCTGAGAATTGTAAATTTATTTAATTAAAATATTTTTACCAATACATTATTTAGCTTCTTCTGATGATGATGATAATTCAGGGACTTACGATTCAGATTGGAAAAACTATTCATTTATTTTACCTTTAAATTTTTCAGCTTTCCCTAATTTAAGAATTTTATATAAATATTTATTAACCATTCCTACAACCTCATGTACTGCCGAAAGAATCATGAGTAAAATTAAATTAATTAAAACAAGACTTAGTAGTACCATGAAAGATTCATTTCTCAATAATTTAACCATATTATCAATGGAAAAAAATTTATTTAAACAATTAAATATTGATGAAATTATAAATTCTTTCGCTTTCTCTTTCCCTAATTTATCTAAATTATTAATTTAAAAATAATATTTATAAAGTATATATTTTTTGCATTTTATTTATATTATATATTAAAAATTGATGCAATCAAAATTATTTTTGAAATTTATGGGTGTCATAAAATAATTATCATTTTTTCGAGGGGAGGGGGGTACTTTTCAGGGGGGTATTCTGCTTCATAAGCTCAGAAAGTGTAGGGGCCACTGTACTTATAAAATAGATAGAACGAATCATTACTACAATAATAAGTAAGGCAAAAAATAAGAGGAAATGACTTATTTTGAATAAAAATCCTTGTAATCGTTCTTAAAATAGTTTATAGGGATGGGGGAGGATGAGGGATGTTGAATATATTTCCGAGAGATCTAATGCAAGTTTACAAGTAAAACCAAAAATCTTTAATAAATTGATGGTTAAAATAAAACCTATTACCTGAACTCCTAAGATACCGAATATGATAAAAAATGTGCAGCATATTAAAACTATGTTTCCAATTGGTCTCAAAGAAGAGAGAAGTGTCTGTACGACCAACTTCAGTCCGGGTGCACGATTAATGACCCTAATTTAATACAAATTAGTCACAAATTAAATCCTTAAATATGAAGATGATTTAAATTAATACCTTAAAGGACGAAGTGTTCTCAGAAGCCTTAAAACTCTCAACATTCCAAATATTTTCGGACTTTTTATGGAAGTAAAGGTTAAAATTATATCGATGAGAGATATGATAACCAATGAACCGTCCATTATATTCCATCCAATTTGAAAATAAGCCCGTTTCCCTACAAGCAAGCCATCTGATATTATCTTTAAAATCATCTCGATTCCGTAAATGATTGAAAATACATAATTAGATGAGGTGAGAAATTTGCGTTCCTATTTTTAAAAAAATATTAGTTTGTCATAAATGAATAATAAAGAATTGTTAAAGCATACCATGCTGTATGGGGGAATATTGGGCCTTTCCATAGCCAGTGTTATGCAATTAAGCGATATAAATAACAGGACCATGTAATCAAACCATTTATTTTCTACATAACGGGAACATATTTGTCTCAACCTTATAAAAGGCAAAACTATAATAGAATATTATAGTACTAATCAAATAATTTTACTGATTTTTAGGTCCAAATATGTACAAAGAGTAATCTTTTCTCTTCCTTTTGAAATTATGCAACCAAGAGGGACAAAATTGATGCTATATATTGACATAAAAAAAATATTTACGGTCATGAGTAAAGTTTATTGGGAAAAAATGATTCCATGAACAATATTGAACAAAATATATTAATAGACATGTTTTATAAAAAATATATATACTATAATTTTTCTTTCATCTTTCGATTTGTAATGAATAATAGGCAAAGATAATCTGTCGCCGACTCGCGGTTTCTTATCAGGTTTTTCATCAAGATTGAGTTGATAACTGCGGCGTTTACTGTTTTATAGTAGAAAATATTTAAATTTAGATATTTATTTATATGATGATTTATCTTTATAAGGGAAAATAATATATGGAATTTATATAATAGACGAAAATTTGATATATTACTTTCTAAAGTACATTTCGACATCGTATAGAGGTAAATTAAGACTAGATGGAAGAGGATTAAAAGGTTCTACCAAGTATTGCTTTGAAGCTACGATAGGTTCAAAATATAAGGTTGTTTTTTCCTTGTTGCTTTGATCTTTAAAATCTAGGTTACATTTGTTTACTTGGTTAGGAGGATTTACGAATTCGCTAATAGATTTGAACTTTAAATTATTTTCGTCTTGTTTAGAAAGGGATTGAGATGATCGACGAAGAGTCATAGATGGTGGTGCTAAATGATCCCTAGATATATTTTTACCTCTAGCCCGGGTAGTTGGAACCATCAAAAAATTACTTTTTGGAACGTGGTCTATAATATTATCCCCTTTATTAACGTCTTGAACCTGAACCCTTAGAACTGAATACCTATTAGGACAAGTTGAATGTCTTCTTAGTATGTTAGGAGAGGTTGAATGTTTTAAACTTCGATAACTATAACGCTGATGACTTTTTTTTAGTCCTAGCGATGAATCAAAATTTGGGGAGAAGGCTTGTTTACGATTGGATGCGAATCTTTTATATTATTTTTAAAAAAGCTGTGAACAAAATGCAAATAAAAAAAAATCACATCAACATTAAAAATATATTATACTGTGATAACAATATTATAAATTCAAGTAGTTTACAATGGGTAATCTTTAGAACTATGGATATCATCATCTCCAATACTTGAAAAATTACTGTATGAGTTAGGTAATATTGAGTTCGACGATTGATGGCTAAAGTTCTGGGATCCTAAATCTTTCCCAGGTATCAATGATTGAATCTAAAAATAGTTTTTAAAAAATATATATTGCTTCACTAATTTATATGCTTATAACCTTGACTAATGGTATTTTTGTCTCTGTTCTAATATAAGGTTTAAATCGATTTGATCCCGAATATATGGAATCGTAAGAAATGGACTTATTAAGAGTTTGAGATGAGACCATGTTCTGACGTTTAAATTGAAGCCTGATATTTTCAATTTTCGGGGACGTTTGAGGGGTAGCAGCGGTGTGAGTGATTAATGGAGCAAGTATACCAGGATTTTGGACCTCAATAAAAACGTATTTTGTGTTCGGGTCGTTTAACTGAAACTTTGGAAGCGATAAGGGACGATTATAATCCCGCATTACATCTAAATATTTGATCCCTTTTAGATTTAAATGTAATAATCATAATTAAATTTAAGGGTTAATAATATTTGACGCTGGTCAATCGTCAAACAGCGAATGATAATATTCTTATCTAAGTGTAAATAATATTTGACGCAATCGCTAAAAGACAAAATATTATTAAAACTAATAATGACCATTTTTATTATTGCTCGGATCTGGAACCGCTAGGGTAGTGCCCGTTTCACATTCAAACTATCTAACCGTTGAGCCACACCCGAAACTCCAAAACAATTTTAAAAAAAATGTAATATAAGGAAAATTTATAACGTTATTAGAAAATTTAAAAACACCTAAAAACCCAATACTTCCCGAAGCTAAATATAATAATCCATAATTGAGACATAAAAAGTTAACATACTAATATTTAAAAAATTATATAAATATACTTCAAATCGAAAAAATAATTTATTACCATTTGGGGTTACAGGTTTGTAGGCTGAAGATTTATTGCTATCTCCCGATAAGCTTCTTTCATCCTAATATTTATAATTATTAAAATATTAATATTTAAAAAAAATAGGTTATAATACTTTAGATATTTTAAATTAATTTAGAAAAGGATTAGAAAATCCAAAAACTATAAAACAAATTTTTTCTTTTAAACCAGAACCCAATAAAGTAAATGTTACAAGAATTATAGAGAAAAGGGAAGGATAGAATAGAATTTTAACATCCATTTTATTTTATAAGTATATAATTTTAAATTGTGCATTGCCAATTCCAGGGCCCCTAACAGTTATGTAAAACAGTTGCGTGTCGGTTACACTGTGTTATTTAATATGGTTTGTTTCGATTCGGTTTGTTTTTTGATAATCAAATAATTTATCGTGAAAAGTTTATTGAATTTAAATTAGAAATAATAAATAATGTTCAAAATAAAGAAACTTAAGATTAATTTTTTTTTTAAAAAAAACTGCGAACATTTTGAAGAAGTTATAAAAATGTTAGATAAAATTTGTTTGGATGTGAAAAAAAATAAATAAGGAAAAACAGCAAGATATTTACCGGAAATAACTCCACAAAAAAAATGAAAATGAAAGTTAAGAAATTTAAAAAGTCTTTTAATTTACATTAAATATTTTTGGATTACTCGATTTGAACAAAAATTAATAGTAATATTATTCGATTCGCACAAAAATGAACACTAAACTATTCGATTAGTTTACGAATCGAATATTTAATTATCGATTTTTGGGAGCCTAATTATACTATTTGTAAATCGGTGTGCTGTAACAATTACAAAATGTTTAGTTTATAATCAAATTTATACGAAAAAAAACCTCATTAATAAAAAGGAAAATTTCTTAGTAGTGGTGTTTGATTTAAATTGCTCGTATTTTTTTACGTATAACAAGAATTGGACTTAAGTTTTTTCAAAATGGAGGTTATGTGTTAAGCCCAAAATCTTTGGGAAATAGATTTTCGGGCTGAGTCCGAGTTGTGCTAAATATTATTAGGCCAGGGCCTTAGTGGGAAATTTTTTAAGCTTCGAATTAAGCAAATATATAGCTTTTTTCTTCATAAAATAAATATATTATGGGCATGGGGAAAGAAATTATAAGCTGGCACCAAAAACCCCAAACAAAAATTTCCCCGCGCGCCAATCTTATAAGTCTACTATTTAAAAAAAATATTAATCACAGTAAAAAGATGTATAGAAGAATTTGATTGTAAAAATTAATAGTTTACTCCTTGAAATCCTTCGACCAATATAGCTACTAATAAATTAAACAAAACATAATTTCCAAAAGTCATCAGTGCTATAAAGTAGAGAGCAGCCCATTGTGAAGTTTCATTCATACCATTAAATAATACAACGTTCCAATCTTCCTGCGTCAGAATCTTAATATAATGTTAAATTAAACATACAAATACTTATTCCTGATAATTATTAATATTTATTATAATTTACCCTGCATTAACTGTTAAAGTAATCACAATTGAAATTAAAATTATCACGGTGATTTAAATAGATTGTTAAATTTTTTTAAAAGGGGGATCCATGAGCCCCAATCAATCTTAGCTCTCTTTTTATCGAATATCTTAAGAAATTATTAGCCTTGAGGGATAAACATTTAAGAGATCATGATATTGCATAATTTTTAACCTTTCACAGATGATATAGCCGAATGAAGCCAACTTATTGAAGTTATCTAATAAAAAAATACTTACTATTGCAATTCTCTGGGGTGAATAAATAAATATTTAATTGTGTCACAAAAATTATTATCATGTCACATACAAAACTCTATATTAAAAGAAAACTTAATAATGTTTTATTAATAACCTGAAAAACAGTAACTAGAGACCAAAGCAATGAATCGAAGTTTTTTCTATCGCATATTTTTTTACCATCTTCAACATATTTACAAAATTTGCAACCAAACAAATTCATTCCTAAAATACTTATATAATGAAAAAACACATAAAAAATATAACTAAAATTTTTAAATCATAATGGGGTATAAATGATCTCTCTTTTTAGTCAATCATATAAAAACAAATGTAATTTTATTTTTAAATGATCAAAATTTTATCTTCAATAATTGAACTTTGTTGCCTATAATTTAATTTGAGAACGCCTAAATTATTTTATAATTTGTTTATTATGTTACCGACAATGTAGATATTTGGAGAATGTGTCCAATATTAAAAAAAATAGCCTGAAATTAATAGGGTAGATATTTTACATATGTTTGAATCAATTTCCGGCAAATATAAGATTCTTTAAATTTAAAAATAAACCCGCTAAATAATTATTTTAAAATAATTTGTTGAGCGGTGTTTTTAAATTTGAAGACCTGGTTTTCTTAAAATGTATTCAAATAACGTTTAAAATATCTATTTTATAAATTTCGAACAACTTGGCCATAAATTGTTGAGTTATTTTTAATTATTTTAAAATTATATTAATTGATCTATTCAGGTAGTAATATATGCAAGAAATATTTTTGGGGGCAACTAAGGTTTCGTTTATAGTAAACGACATCACTGGAAAAGCAAGCAAATAATAGGTAAAATTTACATTCTACCGCGATTTAATTCATTTCATCGCATCGCGCATTCATTATAAATTTTATTATAAATTTTACCTATTTGCTTGCTCTTAAAAAAATACCCTGTGATGCGCGTTTACTATAAATTAGGCCTATTCAAAAACGAATTCGAATCGAATAGTGCATTATTCATATTCGATTCGTTTAAACGAATCGAATAATTTACTATTTAAATTCGTACGAATAAAATCTACTATTTGTATTCGATTCGAATTATTCGAATATTTCAAATAATTCGAATTAATTTTTTTAATAAAATAAATAAAAGGAATATTATGATTTATAAATAATTTTAATAAATTATCCTTAAAATTAATTTTTTTTGAAGAATTTGGTGTAGACTTTAAAAAAAATAATTTTATTATTTTTTTTACTAAGGTGTGAATGAAACCTATTATAATGATCAATAAGAGGAGATGTTGTTTTGCCTTTACATTTTATAATACTCTTGCAATGATTGCAAGCAGCCTTTTCACTATCTTTAAGGATTTGATATTGATCCCATATGATTGCTCTCTTTTGTGAGGAAATTTTCTCATCTTCAACATCAAGCATAATTTCATCAGAAGCAATCTCCTCTAACATAATTAGGCTAGCTAACAATAATTATTGTAGAAATGTAATATATTTTTATGTACCTCTGGTTTGTGTAATTTTTAATATAATTTATTATGAGATTCAAAAAATAAACTTTTCGTGAGATTCAAAAAATGTGGCAAATAAAAATTTAAATTTTCACTTCAGAAATTTTTAAATTTGTGCTAGAATTTTTATAAACACAAACACATCACCTGTCCGAATGGCAGGTCAACAAATAGAAATGACAAATGTTAGATTTATTAAACAATTTATTAAATATTACGAATAATTCGTTTTATTCGAATCGAATAAATGATTATTCGTATTCAGATAAACAAATAATTTATTATTAGTATTCGTAATTATTCGATTAGATTCGAATTATTCGAATCGAATCTAATATTCGAATTATTTTTGAATAGGCCTACTATAAATGAATAAAATAATGACAAAATATTTTATTTATTTTTTATAAAAAAAGTCATTATAACCAAATTTTTATAATAAAAATAAACCGATATAATAGTTTATTAAATAAGATAAGATTAATTTTTGTGTGTTTTAAAATAAATCCAGCTAAATTGGATATTCTATATCTTGAAGTAGGAAATTTATATTTAAAAAAAATATGTCTGTCTTTTATTTTTAAACCTTGTATATTTTTGAGTAGAATACTAAAAATTTAATTTAAATTTGTAAATTTAAATTTTGTATAAATTTGTCGTTATTGGTTATATATTTTTTTACAAATATATATACCCTTTTATTTCACCTTCATTTTTATGGATATATTATTTCAAGTTCATAAACATAAAAATTTATCTAATTATTTAAAATAATATAACACATCTCTCAAAAAAAATTTAGACACTGGCAGGATAAATTTAATGCCTATTTTTCGAGATTATCTTGATGGGAATATATAATGTCTTTCTTGTTTATGTTAGGGTTGGGGTTTGGAAAAGCATGCTGATAGTGACTTATGGTTCAAACTATAACAAATTCATACCTGAAGATAAATATGAAAAGGATGAGCAGCATAAAAAATGTGGCAACATTGTCCATTATCTTAAGCATAACCAATAATTGTCTTTGCAAAGCCGGCATAAATCGAATCAATTTTAAAATACGCAGTAACCGAAATGTTCGTAAAACCGAGAGGCCGCTGTCTCCGGATTGCGTTAACTCAATAACACTAAAAGGATTAAACATAAATTTTACTGTTGAAATATTATTATTGAAAAATAACGCAATGGTGATTAACATAATTATCTTAAATAACAAAATAATATTGTAAGCTTCAGCTTCACGATATTTAACAATCTATAATCTAAGTAAAACCTATATAATTATAAATTTATTATAAAGGATAGGGAATGGATACATAATAATTATAGAATTATAATTATAAACGATTATACCTTAGAATAACTATGAAGCCATCAAAAATGTTAAAACCAATTTTGATATAATCGTAAATTCCATATGCCGATAATTTTAGAATCATTTCGATGGCAAATAAAACTGTGAAAACAAAGTTGCTGTATTCCAGTATCTTGGTTAATTCTTTAGGCTGTATGAATTATATAAATTTAAAAAGTTTCTCAAGAAAAAATATAGTAGACACTTATTATTACTATACTATTATTAAAACAAAAATTGGCTAGTTTGTATACTTAGTTTGTAAATTAACCTCTAGCAAGTTTTTAGCTAAGTTTAGATATTAGCCGTAACGTATATACCTTTAATAAAATGTACCTGATTGTGATATTCGATTCCCATACTAAGCGTATTGATTAATATAGCGAACAATATACCCCTTTGAAATAATTTAGAGTCAACGAAATAACGGATAGTCTTTTGAACCGATAAAAAGCCATTTTTAAAATTATGACAACATGTCTCGCTTTCTTTGGTGCTCTTTAAAAAAAATAAAATAATATTTTTAATTTCCGGGTTTGGTTTAATGATGTGTTGGATGCAGGTGAAAAGAAATATATGAAATACTCTTAGATCTCAATTATAGTGAAAGCGTTATGTTCAAGCGTTGCGTTATTTACAAAATCAAGCCAATAAATAAGTATGTTAGAAATATGGAAACGCTATGATGATAATGTTATGATAAAATTTGAAAAAGTATGTTGCGGCATAAAATTATTGGGGGCCATAAAAAAAATCTATTTATTTGTTATAAATAAAGTTATGTTTTTAACATTTTGTTAGATGATATTATCAAATGTAAAGAAAAATGGCATATTTAGTTTAAGTTTACTTGCATTTTGGTAGTGTTATTTAGGTATGTCTGGACTAAATTGCAATCTTGATTATTTTATAGAAGTAAAAATAGATATATAATTATATTTCTATGAAAAAAATAATTGTTTTAAATCAAACTTTTGAGATCCATGGTATTTAATGAAGTCGTATCATGATTTTCAATAACTTCGAGGTTTGTATTAAAGATTTTTCTATAAAATACGAAATAATAAAATTTAGTTTGTTGGGTAAAAAATTTTTTAAATTATTTTTCTATACAAGCAATCATACTTGGATTGGTATTAATCTCAGTACTTTTTTAAAAATGAAACTTCTAGTATATCAATTTTAATTTTTTTTTTGATTAACTAATAGAGGATATGTGGCAAAAATGGTCATGTTTCAAGACTGGCCACCACCCTTTAAAGTTTCATCTATTGTATCAATTCTTCTCAAAATTTGTCAAAATATTGTATATTTATGATATGTATCTTACCTAAATTCATTTATTGAATAGAGCAATCTAATAACAAAATATTATAATGATCTGTTTTTAGTACCCCTTTCTAGAAAAATTATGTTATACATTTATTTTTGTGTGAATTACTAATTTAAAATACTGATATTTTATATTATCCTTAGGCATATAGCATTATTTACACAAAAAAAAAATTCGATCTTACAAGTTTTATTTAATATTATACATATAAAGGTATTTAATAATAAAAGTCAGGTGAGTATTTTCTGGCCAAGTATTGACTGCCCAACACTCATACATTCACACTTTCATATTAAAAAGAAAGGCTTGTAAAACAACATTTGATGAAGATGCAAATGATGAACATTCAATCGGCAATTGATGGTATAATGAATTTAATATTCATAGAACAACTTTAAGAAAAGTAATACAAAGAGACTCTGCAATATCCCCATATTGAATGGAATTCAAATAGATTAATATTCATCAAACCTCATGAGGAAATTTTAAAAGATTATATAATATAAGCTAGCAAATCATTTTTGGGGTTTAGCATAAAATATTTAAAACTTATAAATATGTCAAAAACTTTTTTAATAATATTAATTACATATTTGAATTATCTGTTAGATAATTAATGATGATAGATTTATTAATTTTATACCATTTTTTAAATGATATTAATTATATAATAGTACCTGTTAAATAATTAGTTATCATAAATTTAATTATATAAATTTTTACGTTAAATGATTTATTTGTTGATAAGAATATATGCATATGATTTTGAAATATACGAGCTAGTTTCCTAAATCTAAAGAAGAATAATGATGAGTGCCTGTGCATTATATGCATGAATGAATATTTAAAACAAGAAAGGGGAAGACTGGATTAAATACATTCATTGTGAAAAATGAGCTCCAATGACATATAATAATACCTAGACTGACGATTCATTCATTAAAATGCATTTTTAAGCGTCGTTAAAAGCAAATCAGCTGGACCCGCCATTTTGGTAACCTTTATAATAATTATTTTCATGTTAAAAACGAATATTAAATTGATAACTTACTTTCTTATTATCTCGATGATCAGGCAATTCTTTAATAAAGTTTGCATCAGATATAATATAAAATTAGGCTCTCGTTTAAAATTTTAATATTTATTACAGTAACCAAGATGGCGTCTCTAGCTGATTTGTATTGATGTACACTTTTAATGAATGAATCGTCAGTCTAGGTATTATTATATGTCATTGATGAGCTCATGCTAAAAGTACTAATAATATTGAGCTATTTACTGTGAAAAATAATTATATTATGATTTTCTCATTTATATATTAATAAAAAAACTTTCATTTATATAATAATAAAAAAAACTTTCATTCTTGTTGTGAATTCATGATGATTGTCTAATTAAATTTATTAAACATCATAAATTTTTAAAATTATGATGTTTAAAAATATGTAGATAATTAAGATAATAAAAAATATTACAAACAGGATAATTCATTTCACATAAAAAATTCATTTATTCACACCAAATAAAACACGGATATTAAATGTATTAAACCATGATCAATAAAACATAACATACATGTTGGGTAGTTAAACATTATATAATATTCTATTCTATATACATATATAATCATTATAAAACATAATTAATAAATATACTAATTCATAATATATAAATAATATATCACCATATATTCATACAAATATTTCCATTATATCAATATTATCTATATATGTATTATAATGCAATACATACATCAATACTACAATATAAAGATAATTAAGATATATTATTAAATATATAAGTCTGATGAAAATTGAGATATTATATTAATATTATTAATTAAAATAGTGAATAATTTGGTTTTTAAATATTTAAAAAATGAAGAGATATTAACCCAGGTTCTTTTACATATATTTTATATTGTAATATATCATATTTTAATAAAATTCTTTACATACCATATTTTGATTGATGAATAACAATTTAAACATAACCTCATCTAGCTCAAATTTTTGACAAAGATTAAAAATTGGGCTAGACATTGATATTAAATTTGTTTGCTTAAAAACAATTCTTAATCTCTTTTTTTTAAATATATCATATTTATAATAAAATTCTTAAATATCATGGCCAGTATTTTAAAATTAACACTAAACAACATCGTTAGCGTTACAGAAATTGGTAGGCCATGTATTAAATAATACATACCCACGTTAAGTGAGATTTACATAAAATGAAACATCTCCTTATCGTTGGTTTATAATATGATGAATGTATATAGTAAACGTATATATATTCTAATAGCATAGAGTAGTGTTGCTAAAAACACGATTTTTAAAAACGGCCCGTTTAAGATTATAATTAAAATAATATGTAAGCCTCAAGATTTTGCAAATAGATGTCCAAACCTTTTTTTCATATATAAGCAAAATCTCTAGGTTTACATAATATTATTCTGGTTATAATTTTAATCGGGCGTTTTTAAAAAATTGACCCCAATCGGGCTTTTTAATAACACCAGCATAGAGCACATAAATTGCGAATTTTTGGAATTTTTATATGTGCATTCCTCTAGATTTATGCAAAAAATTTAAATAAAAATTAATAATAGTTCAAAAATTGTTAAATTGTATTAAATTCCTAGTGGGTAGGCTAAGCCAGAATCGTCACAGGGGGGGGGGGGGGGGTACACAGGAGCTCGAGCCAAAAAATTTAAAAGCCACCTAAAAAGTGTAAATTTTTTTGAGAAATAATTTAAAAAAAGGTCATTTTGAAATTATCTTTAAAAAAAGTTATTTTGAAAATATTAGCTAAAAATCAAAGATATTAGATAAAAGTTATTTTCAAAAATATTGTCTAAAAAAATCAGGTAATTTTAAAAAAAAAATTTTGAGGCCCCTGTGTAAAAGTTACTGAGGCTACTGGGTCTATCCAAGAACGAATCGAAAAGAATGAATTGACAAGAACGAAACAAATAGAAACAAATAAATAATTTATCATATTAAATCAACGAATGAATAATTAGAATCGAATATGAATAGTAAATTTTGTCTTTCATAAACGAATAGTTTTCATATTAGTTTTTGAATAGGCCTAATAGGGGATACTCTATACATGTTGAAGTTTATTTCCGATCATGTCAGATGTTTCAAATTTAAGCGCTCTCAGTCAAATAATTTAAAAATTGAGATAATTAGAATCCCCAAAGTTTCTATATGGCGCCATGACAATATATCGCATATACCTAAATTATTATATTTAATCATTACCTTTTAGGCAATATGGGAACGTCTAATATATGATTCATATCCTAAATAAAATATATTGTTTTTAGTTATATAAAAATAAATTAAATAAAAAGATATTTACTCAGGGTATCGTTATGTTTAAAGGTCCGGGTTCACTCTGGTTCTTAATTTAAAATATTAAAACTTGTGTTAATTTCCGTTTCGTTCCGGTTTAGAAATTCATATCGGTCATTTTGTTCCAGTTTTTGTAAATTTTTAATATTTTTATCGCGGTTCGATTTGATTCGACACCCTGGTAGCGAAAATGTCATTTTTATCCAAAAAAAACCTGGTTTATATCGATAAATTTTACTGTAACGTTTGATTTTGGAGTATTTAAATATGAAGATGGGCCAAGAGCTTGTGATACGCGAGGCGAATATTTACCTTCAATGTCAGAAGGCTCAGGACTGGCAACAGGCGCGTTCAACTTATAAACTTGTAAATGATATTTATCATTTGTATTATCATTAATTTTTTTGTCTTCGTTATCATCACTCGCATTAATCCTACTTATTAAATATTGTTTCTGAACTTCAGTTATGTGCTGTCTTTGCAGCATCCTGGCGTACCGTCGATTTCTAAAATTTTTGAAGACCCGAATGAATTTACGTTTCGACTTGCGATACAAATGTGCCAAATATTTTAAAATTTCAGCGTAACAACTCTTAGGTTCGGAATTGCTAGCCATGGTGAGCGTACTCAGTGATCTGTTTTGTTTTCGTTCTATCTTCATTTTCTCCATCTCTCTGCGCTTGGTTTCGGAAAATTGAGTGGCTATGACTACCAAACACAGATTTATCATGAAAAAAGATCCCAGCACAATTAGTAATACGAAATACAACCAATCCCAAAACGAATGAGCGTCTTGAATGTAATACATGATATCGGTCCAACCTTCTAAGCTTATTACCTATAAAATGTTTCACGGTTTAAAAAATATATATGATTTTTATCTATAAAATTTAAATTATACCAAAAATATGGCGATCCAGGCTAGCCCTATATTATCGAATGAGAGAGCTCCATGATAAGGATTCTGGTTACTTGGTTTGCATTTACTATAATATTGATTCCAATTAATACAGCTTGAATTAGAGGATATATGGTCGGGGAAAAGGGTGGCAGTAGCCGAACATTCTTTATCATCATATCTACATTTTTTTTAAAGGTTAATTAATATAAATAAATAGATAAAAATAAATAAAACATTTTTTTTACCTATATTTAGGGATTTCATAACAATGTTTCATACCATGACCGCCAGAAAGAGTGCAAATGAAATCTCCAAAGTTTTGTACATCGGTTTGGTAGAACTTAGGAAAAATGCTTCTGTGATTGAGTATTTAATATTGTTATAAAATAAAATGATATATTGTAAAAAAACAAATATTAACTACGAAAAAAATATGAAATAAGATTGCTCTCAATAAGGAATACTTATTTTTTATTAAATTGCTATTTTGCAATTAAAGGTCTGAAAATGACAAAATTCTCAGGGCTGGCCGGTTGAAATTTAGTTTTTTGACCGGCCCGTCCAAGTTTTGGCATGGCCCGGTTCCAATTCCATTTTTTCTGATTTTTCAAATCAAGATATATCCCGTGAAAAAAAATATCCAATAATGACGAGGATGTAAGTTTTATGAGTTCCTTATTAAAGAAATAAACACAAAATATAGGAAAAGGAAATCGTATTTATGAATGAATGACCATACACTCAAATATAATATTTTAACAAAATTAGGCTTTAGAAGAATTTTTTCCATTCTCTATTAAGCGCGACTAGCATCTCTACTTTGCTAGCCCGGTTGGTTAATTTTTTTGCTTGGCTCGGCACAATTAATTTTTTAATCGAGCGGGGCATTACAGATCTCTACTTGCGATTTAAATAATATTTTATTTTTAATATTAATTAATTCAAATAATTTTTATTTTATTGCATATCAAAGATATTGACTCTTTTGCGATCATCGAAATTATTTTAATGAAAAAGTAAAGTCTCAATTATATTTTTTTAACAAAAATAACCGCAACAGCCACTTAATACTTTTTTAGGGGATTTTAAATGTTTTAAATTTAGAACCTTGAAAATCTTTTCATTGACTTTAATTGGTGTTGGTAAACGACTCGAATATTTAAAAACGGTTAATCCAATATTTAGCCAAAATATATTACGCAAGTCTGAAGATTTTGCTCATAAATAACAAAAGGTTTGGACATCTATTAAAGAAATCTCGAGACTTGCCTAATATTATTGAGTAATGATGCACGTTAAACGTTATTGATTTTTTGTATGTTTTATTAAAATTTGATCCTTATATAAAAAAATTTATGATTTTGAAAAGCTTATGTGGCCTAGTAGGTTCAGTACGTGTGCTACAATCCGATAGTTCTGGGTTCAAATCCAACAAGGGGAAATTTTTTTATGCCAACTTGGTAATTACCTCCTTGAGGGATGATAAATAGTAGCGGACTCTACAAAGTGATTCCGTCAATTATATATTTTTTAAAAATACGCCTTATTACATTTTAATAAACTTTGGTCGTTGTTTAGCAAGTGGTCTAACGTCATATATCATTACCCAATATATTTTGGCTAAAGTTCTAATTCAAAATTGGCTAAATCGAGCATTTAACGACACTAACTTAAATTATGCTATTTCAGTCAAAAGCGTATTTATTTTTAATTGATAAAATTTAAAAACCTCGTTATGAAAATGGCCTTTCATAGATGACAACAATTAGCGCTTTTCAAAATGATATTTTTTTTTAAAAAAACTGAAATTTATATTATAAAAAGAAGTTAACAATTTAACGATTTGTTGACAGCAATAATTTAATTGAAATAAAATGATGAAAAGACCTGTAATAAATTTTTGAAAATATATATACAAATTTTGGTCGAGTGTTAAAATGTTTCCAGATCGATATATAATTATAAATTATATTTTAAAAAAAATAACAATTTAAATAACCGCAAAAAAGAAACAATTTGGTATAAAAAAAAGGTTATATTTTATTTACTACCCAATAGGTAGAGATATGTTTGGAGGTAATTTTAAAAAACATCTGTTCCGTAACATCCCGGCCCATAATTGTACGCCTATAATTCCAAATATGAAGAATACGAAGAAACACAATAGCATCACGTTTCCTAGCATAGGTAATGTGTCCAACAAAAGCATAACCAATATTCTCATGCCTATGTCATAAATATATATTAGTTATAAAAAAATATAATTAGTTACTGTTTTTAAAAAATGTGACTATTCACTATAACTAGTTTAATTTAAGAAAGGAAGTAAGGTAAGATCTAAAAAAGTTTTTTATCGATTACAGGTATATAAGTCATTCTAATAACGGCTCTGGTTTCTATTCTTTAAAATCTATTGTCTCCATATTAAAAAAATATATATCGTTTTGTTCTGAGATGCTGAATTTTTTCAAAAATAAAGTTTAATTTAGATTTATTATTTATTTTTTTATAAATAAATTTAGAAATTTTCTTTAAGAAGAATTTCAGAAATACTGTATTTATAATTAAATTTTATTAAAAGTTAAAATAAATTATTTATATGATCTTTAATAAATATAATATCATTCTATCGTTATTCCTCTTTCACTTATACTTTTGTTTAATTTCATTTTCACTTTAAAAGTTTTTTTAATATAGAAATTTATATATTAATTCATTTTATCGATTTTTTAATAATAGAAGAGTGAAATATTATTATTTATACACCTTTTAAGATATAATATTTTTCTATTGCTTTTTTAAATTTTCTTTGAAATGTTAAACAGATACATACACTTAGGACAAAACAAAGCTACTTAAGAATTTTTCTTTCTTTCTATATATTGTGCAAATTACATATATTGTGCAAATTACCTATATGGTTCAAATTATATATTATCGTCAATTATATTAAATAAACCAAAATTTGTACTTAGTTTATAAATTAAAAACAAAAAATATCCTGAACAATTTATTATATTCTTTAAATTACTTGGTATGCGATTTATAGCTCTTAAAGGGCGAAGTACTCGAATAGTTCTGATCGCTGATAAGTTGATGCTATCTGTATTAGAGGCATATTCTATCAAACTAAATTTTAAAAAGATAAATAAAATATCTATAAAATAATCAGTCAATACACCATGAGTTGATAAGATCTATATGATGGTTTATGTGGCTTAATATTTTTTAAACAATTTTTAAAAGAAATATTATTAAAATGACAAAAATCTCCTGGACTAAAAGATTCTGGATAATTCTCCGGACCACGGATAAATAAAAAGTAGGGAAAAATATCCCTTATTTAAAAAAAAGACTTGACAAAATTCCACAAATCGTTTTTCTAAGCATTTTTCGAAAAAATTGGAATAATACTCATTTATATCCGGTAGTTTTTTGCCTGGATGACTTTTTGTCCGGGAATATTTATCCAAATTGGGAATTTGAAATAGGTGAAAAGAGATATACGTGCCTTGCTAACTTCCCATATTACTGAGACTAACTATTAATAATATTTTTTATATCCAACTAAACCATAATATAATATTGAAGAATTAAATAAAAATATTTTTGATGGAGCGAAGAAAAATAAATATTTCAAATTGTTTAAAAAATATTTTATTAAGGTTAAATCCTATTTAGTTTCAATTTTACATCATCCTTATAAATTAAAATGTTAAGTGAAATCGCCATGTTAATTTTATTTTTATCATTTTCAAAACAATAATTTTTGTGATATAAAATGTTTAAATATATTTAACCTTATTCAAAAATTTATGCTTTGATGTATAATATGACACGATTTTATACAAAGAAATTAGGTCCATTTAAAAAATTACAATTTACTCTTAATCTCATGAATATAAATGACCTAAAAGACATTGAAAATTTAATACATTCCGGGGATATATTTGGAGGGAGCGGATCTCAAATACTTCCTTATAATTACACACGGCTACGCAATCTATCAATTCATTTTATATAAGGTATAGCACTAGAAATCTGCAAAGTTAGGCCCGGCCCGGCCCGAACGGGCTTCAGGCCTAATTCTATTTAAACTAATCGGGTTCGGGCCGGGCCTAATATTTTTTAAAAAAATTCGGGCCGGGTCGGGTCGGACTTTAATTTTTTAAATATATCTAAATTTATCAATTTTATATTGAATTTTTTATGTAAAATTAAAAATATTCGATTTTATTTATTGAAATTAAACGACATTTTGAGTAATTATAAAAATTAATTTCTATATTTAAATAAATTCAGGCTGTGCCAGGTCGTTAAATTTTTTAAAAAAAATTTCGGATTCGGGCCGGCAAAACTTTTTTTGAAAAAATTTCGGGAAGGGCTTGAAAAATTAGGCCCTATGCAGATCACTGTATAGCACCCTTTTAAAAAGATCAAGAGGCATTTTTGCGTTTCTGTTCCATTGCCGTTCTGGCCAAAATACCGCTCCCGTTCTGTTCCATAGGTTGTGTAAAGTATCGAATAAATTTGACTGTCGAAAAATTTTCCAGTGAGATTTAAAACTTTCTACATAATTATTAATCTTATGACAAAACAGACAGTTAAAATGATTTCAATTTTGATTTTTTAGAAAATATTTTTATGATCTTAAAATTACATAAAAATGATGGGCAATAATAATAGCCATGTAAATCAAACTGAAATTTATTAATCAATGGTGTATTCATGAAAATTATTATTATATTTATAATTATGTAATTAATTAAAATTTTCTGAATATCGCTCCCGTCCCGTTCTATAATATTCTCTAAATTCTATTCCCAGAAGATAAAAATAAAATCGTTTTTTTAAGTAACATCTGTGGCCTAAGTAATTGAAAATATCACTCATCGCTAGATCAGGATCAGATTTTTTTCTGAATATAACCACTGGATTTGTACACACGGGTATGATATACAGTAGATCGGAAGGGAGCTCATAATTCCGATAACATCATATTAATTAAATTGGCATTGCATTTTAACAAAATTTGGATCTTTGTCTAATCAAATTGTTATTTCCAAAAACTGTGAGTTTTAACATTCCCAAGGAAAAGAAGTATTGTGTTTGGCATGGTCACTTCTATCTTTCTAGTTAGAGATTTTAAAATATGTAGGTATATTATTTAATAGGCTCATTCAAAAAGAATACGAATGGACTAATAAATTGTTCTTATTCAATTTCTTTAAACAAATTAAATAATTTACTATTCGTGTTTGTAGGAATAGTAAAATATATGCTATTCCTATCTGATTGATATAATTATAAATAGTAAATTATTCGATTCCCTCAAAAGCAAATCCAATAATTCATTATTCAAATTAATATTTGTTTTGAATAGGCCTAGTATTTACAAATCGTTATCTTACCATCATATATATAAAAGAATGTATTTTTTAATATTGGAGTCAACATAGTATTTCATAATTTTATATATTTTGTCGCAAATTTTGGACATGTTATCTTCAATTATGGAAAGTGCCTTGCATTATTATAAATAATGACAAATATCAATTATTAATATTTAATCTAATCTTTAAAAAAAATTTTTTTAACAAGTTCTGCAATTATTTTTTTTTATATTAAAAGTATATGAAGTAATAATAAATCATCATAATACTATAATCCATTTAATAACTTTAAATTCGACGTTAAACAACTTGTATATAATATTTATATAATATGATTAAAAAATTGGTCCAATAAAACTCACTATTATGACCTCATAAATGTGAACTCGCCATATTTTGAAAAATTTCAATTCTTTTTTGCTGTCCGGGTATTTTTTTAAAAAAATTCTATATCCACTTATAAATAAAGGAATTAAATAATATGGCCAGAGGATTTGAAAAATCTTTTCTTACACAAATATTCCTTATATTACAATATATGGGTTACTTTGGAGTAAATTACTAATAAAAGAGGATTAGAACTCAAAATTGTAAACCGATAAATATTATTTAACCCTAACCCTCAATTTGAGGGGGCAAATTTTGTTTATTATATAAGAGACTTTTATTTTATATTTTCTGATCATTTAGATAGAGATCACTGTTGATATATAATATAATTTTTTAGAAATTTTTTTTTACCCGAACCCCTTTGCCGAATTTTTATACAGAGAAATTAGGAATATATATTAATTCTTTTATAATTTTTCTTGGGGTAATTTGTTTATGTTTGTAGTTTTTTTCCCATCATTTATCCACTAGTCTAATATATTTTTTCCCCCCAAATTCGACTACACGATTTTTGAACAAATTTCATTGAAAACTCCAAATTTTATTTTTTAAAAAAATCTACAATTTTGTTGATTTTCAAAGATTCTTGCTCAAAATTTTAAGCGAAAAACATCTTCATACTCATTTGAAGATTTTTATTAAAACCCTCCTATAAAGTAATATACCTTAATTTCTTTAAATATACCCGAGCCGGACCTAAAAATATTTTTTAAAAAAAATAGCGTCGGGCCATACTTTAAAACCGAATATTTTGAATCACTCTTATTAGAAAAATTGAAAAATGAATGTAATATATCTTAGAAAATCCAAGCCGGGGAAAATTTTATTTTAAAAAAAATCCTGGCCGGGCCGTGCAAACGGCATTTCTGCAAGTCTCTGATATTTATATATATTATTACTTGGAATAATCACAAAATAAATAATAGTCTTTTCAAAAATTATAAATATTATACCCGGCCATAACAATAAAAAGGTCCAATCTGTTCCAACTTTCTGCTAAATAAGTATTCTTCCCGTATATTCCCATAGCTATCATTTTGATGACCAGTTCGACAGCAAAGAAAGCGAATATAAAATGGTCGAATAACATCAAAATTTTACATCTTCGCGATTCGCAAATCGCATCATTGCAAGGTTGATACATGCCCAACGTGATACAATTTAACACTATAACCAACATGCTAATCTTTTCAAACCATGTTTACCATAAAGATATTTAGTTAAGGAGAAATTTGTAAATTTAAATATTCATTAGAAAGGAGCATCTAAAATGAAATGGTAAGTAATTATATAAAATGGTGTATCCTAACCATAATTTGGAACCTGTAGAATTCAGTTTTAGTTAAGAATAAATTGATAAATCTATCATTTTTAAAAAGAAGAATTTAGTTAATGAAATGAAAGAATAAAAATAACTATTATTATCAATTATGTTATGGAGACTTAAGTTAAGTTGTGTAAATAAAATGAAAAGGCAAGTAATTATCATTCATGAAATAGATAATAAAAGACACAGCCTCGAACCTGTGCTAAAAAAAATATTCAAATTTAGGGATAATTTTTAAAATCGGTTTTATTTCCGGTTCAAGTCTTGAAAAAAAAATCAAAAATTTTTAGATTATTACTAAATTCCCATGTTTCAGATACAGGCACAGAGTTCTGTTTAAGTTAAGGATAAATTGATAAATATTAAAGTTCTTAAAAAAGGATTATAAGTTAAATAGTATAAATCTATTGAGAGGACAAATAAATATTGTTATTATCATTTAAGAAATGGAGGCTCATAACCAGGTTTTGGAAAATCTAAATCAAAAAGGGTTTCGGTGCCGAATATTTATTTTTTTTAAAAAATGGCTCTGTTCCTATTTAAAGGGGGATTGTATCAGATTCCTAGATTTGGCGCACTTTCCAAAGTTCCGGTTACTAAAACTATTTAATAAACATTCTATAATTAATTGCACTTATGAAGTTACCGATTTTTGTTTCTAGTAATTTTAAAGTAGATTCTAGTGCCGATTCATAGAATTGTTCGGGTTTCAAGTACGGGTTCTTGTTTTTGGTTATTAACTCTTATCATAACCTTCTTAAAATCTTTTACAGTGATAAAAGAAGAATTGTACTAAAATGCCTTACTACCCAAATTCAAATATTTTCGTTTCACTAATAAAATGAATGAAATTTATATAAAAAAAAGGATATGGAGATTTCACCATGTTGATGCACATCTTTCGTACGCGATTTTGTTTAGTGATACAACAAAATGATAGAGGAACAAATTCAGGCAGGTTTGAATGTTTTGGAGATGATAAAACAACTGCATTATCGGTTGAAGCTTGTATGTGTATGGCGCCTCGATCGTTAGAATGGACCTTATCCCATTCTATATTGACCTCGTTTGGGGTTGGATATTTAAAATTTTGTCCATTGGGTAAACTATTTATCGATGAGTTATAATAGCTATCTTTGTTTATCATTTGTATCAATGGTAAGTGTATACGTGTCACAATTCATTTATATTTCTAGGTTAGAATGCAATCTAATTATAAAAGTCCATTTTGAATTCTTTTCATAATAAATGACTCTACAATGAAATAATAAAAATATTAATTATAATTTTGAATTTGAAATTAGTCAAAAAATTATATTTTTACGTAAATGGAGTACATTCTTATTTGACATATTTCCTGATTATATTCCCTTTTTTTATATAATCCATCTATTCTGCACTTACAGATAGATCTCTTTTAAGATAAGAATGCAGTTGCTATAATAAAACCTTCATTTAATTTTTTTTTTCCTCTTTTGAATAAAATCTCCACCATTTTCTAATTTCCATTGGGTAAGTAACTCCATTTTAATTCTTTCTTAGAAAAAAATATTTTTAATTCCATTTATTTACCAAGAGTATCTAATATTAGATGATTTGTTCCCAAACTATTTATTTTTAAATAGTGATTTTCCATATATAATTTCCAAATGAAAACCTACAAAAAAATTGTTGAGAATTTTGACTGAAACAAAATAACCTAATAATTTACTACAAAGGTTTTTAAATAACTAGTATACTTTTTCTTTATATTGGAATTATAATTATATTAAATATTTGTTTTTGAGTCCCTTTTAAAGAATTATAAAATCGATAAAAATTGAAATTTTGATAAAATTTTATCAATTTTTTTACTATGTTAGTCCTTAACTTAAGTATATAATATTATATCATAGCAGATAATATTGTTCTTACTTAAAAAGATTTTAATAAACTTGTTTTTAATCTTTTTCGTTTATTAAATTTTTATAGAAATTATTTTATATTAAATATTCAATATGTAAATATTACCAAACATTATATGTATTTTCAAATAATTTATAAAATTCTAAACAAAGATTTAATTATATTAATAATATTTTTTTAACCCTTTAACATCTGTTCATTTGGTTTAAATTTTTTTATATATTAAAAACATGAATTCTTCTATTTCCTATTGATAATAAATCAATTTTTTTGAAATATTTTATTACAAATTATCTCAATTAATATATTTTTCTAATAAGTATAGTAAATAGTAGTATAATTAAGGTTTAAAATTACAGAATTATTATGACATTTTAGTGTAATTGATCTTTAAGCTCATTTTCTATATATTAATCTTTTTATCATTTTTGATCTTGCCAAAAAGTATGTTGAATTAAACTTTTGATGTTTTTGAGTTTGGATTTCGTTTGGGATACTTAGATAATTAATGCTTATACACCTAACTAGAAGAGCCCTGAAAATCGTATATTTAAAAGCCCGAGCTCAGTACGACTTTTTATACATTTAACGAGCCCAGTCTGATTTTCATTTTATTCTAAAACCCAGTCAGGGCTGATTTATCGATATTGGGTCGGTTTGGTGCAGGGATTATTTATATTTTTAAAAATATAATTTTAAAATTACTACTTGAAAAAGATATTTTGGTATGGCTAGCACAACAAATGTTATTCTGCGTATATATTATAATATATTAAACAAATAATTTGTGGGAAATTTATTTTTTTTAAAAAATGCTTATAATTTCAAAGTTTTAGATTATGTCTGGATTTCCATCCCAGACAAGAACAATTATTTTATAGGAAAAATAATGAGGCATGCAGAATAATTAATCAAATTCGTGGATGATTATGTAAGTAACAATGAATGGGATCTTATATACACACGCCTGTTGGAATTGTTGCCTCTTTTGTAATGGCTCATTTCTTTCTTTTGTAATCAAAAATGTTAAAATTGCTATGTTAGGTCATAGCTAGAATTTGTTTCAAAATATAGGGGCGATTTTGAAAATCATATTAGAGGGTTGAGGGTTATTTGTAATTTTATTATTTTAGTTATATTCAAAAAAATATTACTTAACATTGTAATTGGTACAACTGTTTAGGCATAAAAAAAATATTTAATTTCGTAATATATTTTAAAAATATATTTATTTAGGCGACTAATTATATTCAAATGATCATATAAAACCATCCGGTTTAATTTATTCTCATTTTTAAAAGCAAACCATTATTATTATATAGTGGAATATTTTAGGTTTGAATATTGATAATGATAGTAATAAAAAATGGTTATATATGAAAGGCTTCTTTTTTTAAAAATTTCATTAAACAAAACTTTTACGAGCTATACACAAAGTTATTAGTGATAATATTTTTGAAAAAAAACGTAAATTACAAATAAAATTGAGAAAAAGCTATAAAATTATATTGATTTGAAAAATTATAAACTATTCCGATTTTATAGATATTTTTTTTTAAAATATTCAATGTGATTTGTGATTATGTAGTCAAAATAATATATAGAATACAAGTCATAAATTTAGAGTTAAAATATTCTTTCGCAATTTTAATCATCTACATCTAGTACTTGAATGAAATCAAAAGCAGGTTAGTTCAAAGCTAAACTTAGAAAGCTAGGGTTTGTATTGGCATAAATATTCTTTCGCAATTTTAATCATCTACATCTAGTACTTGAATGAAATCAAAAGCAGGTTACTTCAAAGCTAAAATTAGAAAGCTAGGGTTTGTATTGGCATACATAATATATGTTGGATCAGGGGTGTTAAAAAAATCTACAAATGAATTTGATGATATAGAATGTTTATCCATAGGGTTTACATATTCTTATAATTAATTTTTAATTGATAGTATAAAAATATTTTTAGAGTTAATTATTATATTCTAAAAACAAAATTAATAAGGGATGCTTAGGTGGAGTCTATGGCCACCCTAAGAACCATTAACTGAAACTATTGTGTAAGACCAAAAATATTTTGCGCACATATATTTTGCATAAAATTACTAAGTTACTAAAATATCCAGACAAAAATATCGAAAGAATTTTAAGTAATAACGTTTTTTAAAAGACTAGGGTCTGCATAGTCCCTTGAGCTTTGAAGGGTTACAAAATATAATTAAAAAATATTTAATATGAACTTAAAAATTAACTTGAAAAATTAAATATTCTTTTATTTAAAATATGTATTAAGAAGATATGAATATATAATTTTATATAAAAAAATTGTTGCAGATACGTCGATTTTCAGTAATGATACATAAAAAATCATTCTTAATAAAACTATGATAGCATGTGAGACCGGGGAGCATGCAAGCCCTAAGAGACTAACGTCAATAAAAAGAAAACTATATGATAGGATTGAATAAAAAATCATATCTCATTTTATTTCACTTATTTCCTTTTATGCTATCTATAAAATTAATTTCCTAAAAATATTATCAATTATAAAAGTATTAAAGTTTCGGGGAAAAAAATTTGGAAAAGGAGAAGCAACATCCAGGGAAGAACCAGCTTTCCAATAAGGCGTTTTTGATCTGCAAAATATTGATTATTTTTAAATATTAAAAGGATATTTATATTATCGGGAACTATTTTATTGATAAAAATAAGCCATAATGGATAGTAATTATAAAACATTAGTAAACTTTATTGACAATATAAACAAATAAAGAATGGATTAAAATTGCAACATGATACATGTGCTCCAAAAAAGCATTTATACGGCATTGAAACCACCAGTCCTCATTATTATGAAATTTTTAATAGTTACCCGTTTTCCATATTAACATGTGTTTTTATTATCATTGTTCTTATTATTATTATTATTGTTGTTTATCTTAGAAGCAATTTTCGTAGCTCATTTTGGCTTTCATTTTATAGGGAGAGGAGGTTAAAATTGATAATGATTGTTTATTTTTAGTGTTATTTTTTTAAAATATATTTTGGATAGAGCATAAAAGACTCTGGAATAAAAGAATTGAGGTTTAAAAATTTCAATGAGCAAAAGTAAATTTTAAAAATGACAGTCAAAAAGTTCATATATATAAGTTATGAAAGTAGCGCCATACCTTCAATATCTTTAAAACATAATTTTATGGTAGTTTAAACATATTTTTTGTCCAAATAAAGAATAATTTTATATAGAATAGGGTTTAATCTTTTATATAAGATTGCTATTGGATATTTAAAAAACCTTTATTATTTTTTATAAATTGCAGCTATATTGTGTTATGATCAACAATATAAAATCAAGAAAAATAGTTAAATACTTAATTAGGCCTATCACACGGGTCATATTTTATCAGAAACTCATCGAAATCCGGAAATATTAATAAATAAACATCATCCTGTTTTGGTACATATTATTTGCTAAACATTCATCGGTTGTCTATATATATAACTTCCTCTAAACCGCTTAAAAAGAGAGAGGCTAGATTTATGTAACGATTAACTAATCTTTGTTTTATTTGTACCAAAAAATATATATAAACAATAGATAATAATTATTTAACGTACAAACTTAAATAGTGTTGTTCTAGTTCAAAATCGCCCATGAGTTTCAAATATAAGACGAACCAGGAGATGGCATATAAACTTGTCCGATTTCCTGAATATTTTAACTCACATAACATTATAAATAGAGAATAAGATTAGTATTTGTTTTTCGTTTATATCTAACAGGGTTCGGAGCCATGCCGGGCAAAAATTTAAGCTTGGCTAAAAATCAACAATTTAGTACGGACTATATATATATATATGAGCTAACATGATTACATTTATATATCATTTAGATACAAGCCTTGTTAATAAATCAAATAATAAATCAAATATTATATAATCTACATTATATCCCAAATGCATTAAGTAGATGATAGATTATTATTTTATTTTCGTGACTTTTTTTTCTTCTTGCCATATATTATTTTAAAAAAATTTTAAAAGCCTTGTCTGAGTAAATTCGAAATACAGAGAATTTCCATATCGCCAAAATTACTAACTGGGTAACGAAACGAATCACAATATTTAGTATAAATGATTTATATATTTTACTCTAACAAAGCTGATAAGAGTGCTGAAAAATCAATTTTTTTATATTTATTTAGAAGTGTGCTTAGTATAGTTTTCTTTACTTAGGTATATATTTTAGCTTCAATTAAATTTATACGCGCTGAGAACAAGGTGTCGCCTCTCCCGCTACGCTAAACTTATCAAAATCCCCCAACCCTAATTTTTTTTAATGGACATCTAAT